ATGGTCCCAGGGATCTGCGCTCCTGGACTGCAAAGTCAGTCACTCCCCTCCTTTTGCTACAAAATGTCCACCTTTACATTTCCAACCCTCATTGTCAGTCCTGGTAATAGTTACTCACTATTGTACCACAAGAGACCTATCCCCATCTTCTTTCATCAGCCCTGCCCAGACAGATTGGATACTGCCTTCTTCCATGCCCTCTGGATGTAGGCTTGTAAGCCGGTCACTTCTTGCCTTTGTAACCCCCCTGACCCCCATTTTGGGTAGCCAATGTCTAAGTTGCCCATCCCTGTCTACTCTGTGTATGGAGGGGGTGGGAATGATCCTTGCTGTAAAGATTTGTACCCTCTTTTGAGCTACAGCATCCATAGGTGTAGGTCAAGTTCATCAAATTGTATCAGAGTATTCTTTTTTCCCTTTTCTTTCTTCTTTTAGTTGAGCTCTGATCATCCAGTCATTGAAGCCAGGTCAAGTGGGTATTATCTGTAAGTGTGGGTGTTCTTATGCATGTGCCCTCTTTTCTGATCAGCTGGACAACTTCACTCTCCACTCTAGTCCTCTGTGGCTATGTCACTGACTCTGGGCCCACAAGTCCCCAGGTCTTGCCACACAGCTGGGCAACCAGGTCTCCACTGGGGTTCACAGCAGTCTAATGAACGTTGTAGGGCTTAGCTCGCAGCTTCATTGCTGTTTTCCCCTCACTTCCCCTTATTGGTGACGAATGTGGTCATCAATAAGAATGCGTGTCTGCTTATGTATTCTCATTGAGTTTTAGTTGGAAAGGGGTTTGCCCTGAGGGTACCCGACCACTTGCCTTGATGTCTTCTGGGCGAGCAACTTGCTTGTTCTTGTAGTAATCAGTTGGACTGCCATTATTGTTTTGTATCTTTCCTGTTGGTTTTTCTTTCAAGAAGTATCTTCTATTCTTCTGGTCTGCTTGTCCTTTCAAGTGGAAATTTCCCACCTCAGAAGATTCTGGATGGGGTTCAGGATTCCACCTATGGTCTTATGTAATGCAGAGGCTCTGCAGGAAGCCTCCTTCACTGGGCACATTGTAGCCCCATTTTAGGTATTCCAATTAGTTTTAGGCAGAAGACAGACTTACAAGCTTTCAATGGTGATATTTCTGGCTATTCTTTTCTTTCCCTCTCAAGTGTCTATTTTGTTCTTTGGCAGCCCGTTGTACTTTGAATATTCTTCTCCAGCACCATAACTGAAAAGCATCAATTCTTGTACGGTCTTCCTTATTCACTGTCCAGCTTTCACATGCGTATGAGGTTATTGAAAATACCATGGATTGGGTCAGGCGTACCTTAGTCCTCAAGCTGACATCTTTGCTCTTCAACACTTTAAAAAGGTCTTGTGCAGCAGATTTGCCTAATGCAAAATATGTCGTTTGATCTCTTGATTGCTCCTTCTATGAGCGTTGATAGTTGATCCAAGAAGAATGAAGTCCTTGACAACTTCAGTCTTTTTCCATTGATAAGAATGTTGTATATTGGTCCAGTGGTGAGGATTTTCGTTTTATAATGGTATGCCAGGTAAACCAAGATTCAAAAGACAGCCAATCATCTTAACATTATTTCCCCCTTTTGCCCATTCCAGCCATGTCTCAAATCCCTGTATTCCAGAGCCCTTTTGTTCCAAGATTGTACATATATCATTATTTACCTCTGTCCCACTTAGCCCATGCAACCTGCCTAATTGTTTCTCCATCTGACTTGTTCTTCCATTCCCCTCCCCCTTCTTGTGTATTGCCCCCCTTCCTAGCACCCAAACTATGCTGTGTCTATTTCACCTACCCCTTCCCCCCTCCCCCCATCCCAGTAACCACCAAAGAATTCCCCCCCACCCTTTAGTATGGGGTCTTTTTCTTAGTCTTTTACAGTAGTGGACCTATGCAGTATTTCTCCTTTTTTGACTGACTAATTTCACTCAGCATAATGCCCTCAAGGTTCATCCGTGTTATGTGGTGGCTTGCAGCTTCCTTGTTATTCTTCAAGGTAGCATAATATTCCATTGTGTGTATGCACCACAGTTTGTTTATCCATTCTTCAGTTGATGGGCACTTTGGCTGTCTCCATCCTTTTGCTGTTGTAAATAGTGCTGCTATGAACATTGGTGTGCATATATGTATTTGTGTTATGGCTCGTGTTTCCTGTGTGTAAATACCAAGTAGAAGAATTGCTGGATCATGAGGTATTTCTACTTCCAACCATTGGAGGAAGCACCATATTGCTTTCCAGAGAGGTTGGACCATTTTGCAGTCCCACCAGCAATGTAGGAGTGTCCCAGTCTCTCTACATCCTCGCCAGCATTTATTGTCCTCTATTTTTTTGATCTTTGCTGTTATTGCTGGCAACTCTCTCTTAAAATATATGTCTTTGAGTTTGGGGCTGAAGGCTAAAGGGGTTATTCCATGCAGATTCTATACCTCTTTCTCTGCATAGGTTTCCTTTGCCTTGCGCATTCCAGCCGCCTTAGTTTCCCCGAACTCTGCTCTCTTTCTGGAAAGTGCTTCCAGGCAGTAAGCTTGGGCAGTCCTGGCTATCAAGGGTCCTGGGCTGCTTGTTGATAAGCATCTGAAAATAGTTGCTTCATTATCTAGATTGGTGGTGAGGATGCAAGACTAGCACTGATTGCTTTATCATTTGTTGTTGTGGTTAAGTGCCTTTGAGTAGGGTTGCCAAGGAGTGGCTGGTAAGTTTGAACCACCAACCTTGTGGTTAGTAATCCAGTGTTGGTCCTATAGGTGGTGGTGGTTCCGACTCAGAGAGGGTTTCTGAGGCTGTAAATCTTTACGGGAGCAGAGAGCCTCCTCTTTCTCCTATGGAACAGCTGGTAGTTTTGAACTGCTGACCTTGAGGTTAGCAGTCCGATTCATAACCACTACACTATCAGAGCTCCTTTAGTCTTCTGTTGTTGTTAAGTGCTGTTGTGTGGGTTCCAACCCATAGCGACCCTGTATAGGGTTTCCAAGGAGCAGTTGGTGAACCACTGACCTTGCAATTCAAACGACTTTGCAGTCTGACGCATTAGCCCCCAGCGCCCCACCAGGACTGTAGTGTCACTGTCTAGTACCTCTTGATTATCTAGTATCGAGTCATATGGTAAAATAAGTTTGTCTGTAGCAGTCTAAAAGAATTAGACCGCTAACCCTAACCACAAGATGTTGTTGTTGTTAAGTGCCTTTGAGTCTGTACTGACTCATAGTGAACCCTGCATAGGGTTTCCAAGGAGCAACTGGTGAGCTTGAACCGCTGACCTTGCAGTTCAAAAAGATCTTGCAGCCCAGTGTAGTAACCTGTAGCGCCACACCAGGACCCCTATAATTGCAAGGTGTAAGCAGTTCAAATCCAGTAGCCACTCTTGGAAACTATACAGGGTCGTTATGAGTCAGAACAGACTCGATGGCACACAGAGCAGTCTAGAAAATTAGGAGCCCTGGCATGATGCTGTAGGATAAGCATTGGACTGCTAACAGAAAGGTCAGCATTTCAAACCCACCAGTTGTCTGGTGTGGCACTCTGGGATAAAGCACTGGACCACCAGGTAGGTTTGAATCACTATGTCAGCAGTTCAAACTCCCCAGCCACTCCTTGGAAACCGTCTACAGGGTTGCAATGAGAACTGACTCAACGGCACCTAACAACAACGACAACAGAATGAGACTTTCTGCTCTTGCAAAGATTTGCAGCCTTGGAAATTTTATCCCGGGTCACTGAGTCGGAATTGACTAGATGATAGTGAGAAGTCAGAAAACTAGTATAGTATTTATTCTAAATTGGAAAGAGTAGTACATGTACATTCTAGATCATTTGGAAAGTAGAGTACTTAGAAAAATTTTCTGTCATGCACAATCCTCAAAACAACACTTAAATATTTTAATTGTATTTCCTTCTAGTCTACAAAAATTATTTTAGAAAAAAATAGTTTGGATTTATTTGAATGTTTTGTGTTTTCAAAGGAAATGTGTATTTGAGAAAAGGCAGCGTGCATAAGTACAAGATTAAAAGGCTGAAAAGTCTTTGCCCTCCTAGCACTGGTTTGCGTTGTTTGTCATAAAGAGTGGTGTTTCCTACCCAGGCGACTCAGCTTTGTTGTTGTCATTAGTGGCTGTGGCGTTACCTTATGCTCACTGGAACACTATGCACCTTCCCTGTGATTGTTTGTAGATCTGTTGTGATTAATAGGATTCTCACTGGCGAATTTGGAGAAGTACAGCACCGTGCCATTCTTCCTGTTACGTCTTAGTCTGGTAGTTCTGCTGAAACCTTTATGACATCCTAGGTACACTTGAACAATGGGCTCGAGCTTAACAATGATTGTGAGGTACCCAGGACCCAGCAGTGTTTCATTGTGTCACGAAGGTCGCTATTAGTCAGAACTGACCTGACGTCACCTAACAACAATAACAAAGCTACAGGCAAGCTTCCGTTGATGGGTGGGTGGGGCTGTGCCTGAGGTGGCTGGCTGGGTGTTGCGCCAGGTCTGCTGAGTGCAAAGTGAGAATTCTACCAGGGAACCCCTAACGTGCCTCCCAGCTTCATAGGTCATACAGATGGAGCAGTTTCAAGAATGACAAACTAATATGAGAACTTTCTTCTCCTTTTGTCTATTTGTTGCAGATTTGTGTTTAACAGAAAAGAACCCCTTTTATTTTGCTGTTGGCTGCTTAAAAACAGTTCGCGAGAGGCCAGATCTAATTGAATACTTGACTTATTTCCCCATTAGACTAAGGTTGACTGGTTTGAAGACTGCTTTCCGCTTAGTCTTTTGAATGACTGCTGTATCTAAACCTGTGCCAGGTGCTTAGAATCCAAAGTCCTAGCTGCTAAAAGGTACACAGTCTAGTTGGGGAGAAAAACATGTTTGAAGTTTCTTCTGTTTCTTTGGAATAAAACAAAAATCAAATGTTACCATTCATTTTAAGAGCACAAAAATTTTACAAAACGATAGTAGCTATCATTTGTTTCTAACTTTTGAAATCTTTTCTTTAGGTGAGACATGGAACCCATTAAAATTGCATTATCAGTTAAGAAATGTGCGGGAACGATTAGCTAAAAACCTGGTGGAAAAGGGTGTATTGACAACAGAGAAACAGAACTTCCTACTTTTTGACATGACAACACATCCCCTCACCAACAACAACATCAAGCAGCGCCTCATCAAGAAGGTACAAGAAGCCGTTCTTGACAAATGGGTCAATGACCCTCACCGCATGGACAAGCGTTTGCTGGCCCTCATTTACCTAGCCCACGCCTCAGATGTCCTGGAGAATGCTTTTGCTCCTCTCCTGGACGAGCAGTATGATTTAGCCACCAAGAGAGTGCGGCAGCTTCTGGATTTAGACCCTGATGTGGAATGTCTGAAGGCCAACACCAACGAGGTTCTGTGGGCGGTGGTGGCAGCTTTCACCAAGTAACTGCTCAGAAGAACGCCTTTGCCTTTCTATCATGTCAGCCAGGTGTTTTTCTTCTGTCAACTTTTGGTTTTCTGCAGTTTGTACTTTCCCACACTAGAATTGGCTCTTGTTTTATGGAAATGGTGGGTGGCTTTTCCTTTCTTTTTTTTTAGGTATGTATGCAGGATTCTGCTGGTACGAGAGGCCTTCCTGTTTCAGTCTTTTAAGAAACAAATTCCCTCCATGTTGGTATTCCATTCCCTCTTGCCATTGTCACTGTTACCTGCTTGGTTCTCTGGTATGCTTTGATCTACGAAGTCCCTCCAGGCTCCTCACATGCACATCTTTTGGATGATCTCAGCTTGAGCTTCCCCACATGTGCATGTACACTGAGCCTTCTGCGTGCACTTCAGACAGAAGTCACCAAAGGTAATTATCTGTATCTATGAGGACATTTGATGCATAGACCTCATTTAAGATGTATACTTAGCAAAATTATTTTTAAGTTAAACAGCACAGTAAACACTTAATTTAAAATGCCCCTTGGATTCTGCTTCCCATGTAAATCTATTGTATTATTTTAACTATTAAAGCATAAAGGTCCAATTGTTTCACAAAGCCGGTTTGGGATGGGCTGCATTCCATTTGTGCTGTATATAGTTTGAATTATGAATTGCCCCATCTTCTGGCCCTCCCCCTGCCCCCATCTTAGTATTTTGTGAGCTTTAATTAGCTGTACACCTGGTGTCCCTCACTTGTTTCAGGTGTTGTCATTTGAGGGCAAACCAGACCTCCCATCATTGAAGGAGATAGGAAAGGTGTGTGTGTGGGGGGATTGTTCCGGAGTCCTTGAGCTGTGCCCGTCATGGTACCTACCGATACAGCTCCAGCTTGGATTTTTTTGTTTAGGTCATAACTTTTTGATCATTTCTGTAGGGAAGAGGCTTGTGACCAGTACTAGTCTTGAGTACAGTTTTTTTTTCTTTTTCTGTCCACAAGTAAATGAATGTCTGCTCTTAAATGTCATTTATCTACTCACATTTTCTTGGGGGGAAAAATCAAATGTCAGTACTAGCAGATGTTGCATGTAAATTGTTAGCAAGTAATGACTACGGCTCAGATGATTAAGATTTTTGTAACAGAAAGCTCTGCTATGTTTTAATTTTTTTATATACAATTATGATAATTAGCACATTGTAAGAATATAAACCTTTGCTTTTTAAAGTTTATTTTTAAATGATTCCTTTATCACTGTTTCTCATACCACCGTTGCTTTCCTAATGTAAATACTATACATTGAACAAATTAAATGTCAAATTTTTTATTACCATAGTTCATGTTAATAGCGGGACTTTCAGGTGTTTAGAGATTTTGGGGTTAACCTTCAATGCAAAAGTACTAGATGGTGTATAACTCTAGAGGTGAATTTTAAGGGATTCCCTAATATGTATACATCTTTTTATCTGAAGTAATAAATAAACTATGATCTTGAAAGTGCCTGAATCAGAACAAGCATGTCATTTGTTTTTGTGTGTGAGTGTGCTTAGTTTCCTTTCAAATACGGTTTTTTGTCACCTTAGTGTGGCATTGCACTGTTTTAATGCAGGGGCTGGCAAACTTTTTCTTAAAGGGCCAAAATAGTAAATACTGCTATTTACTGTTACACAACTCTGTCAAATTAAAAGCTGCCATTGAAACTATAAATGGTGTGTTCCAGTAAACCTTAATTTACCAAAACAAACAGCTGGCTGTAGGCCATGGTTTGCCAGCCTCTAGCAAGAAACAATTGTGTAACCTTTGCTTCCAAAAATCATGCTACTGGTGGAATAGAATGTATTAATTTGTGGTTACTTTACATAACAAGGATACTGACTTGAAGTTGATATCCCCAACCACGCACTGATGTTCAGTTGATTCTTCTAGCAGCCCTGTAGCACAGAGGGAACTGCCCATTGGGTAGACTTACAGAGAGAGACTGAGTCTTTTAAGGTACTCTTTCCTGCCTCACAGCATCTGTATTCCCAAGCAGAATTGTGAAGGGCCCTTCCTGAGTTCCTATCTGTGTTTGCTTCTGGGCAGAGTACCCTCAGATCTGCCTGTATATGGTCCCAGCCTCAGTACATGCTTCATCCAGAGAAGGAAAAACACTAAAATCCAGAGTGTGAGAGGTTATCTAGAACTCCCGCCTATAAAATGGTGCTGTTTATAACCCTCTGAAAAGCAGGAATGGTGTAACCCCATGGAAATCACTCTTTTTTGTGCTAAGAACAGTATTTTTATCTACAGGCTTCTGCCACCTTGGTTAAAATCCCACAGATGCAAGAATGCGGTGGAACATGTTGACGTTATGATAGAAGCTACATAGTAACCTACTATGGAAAGAATTCGTGCTTCTTTGTGACTTCTTTTCATGTTGTTGAACTGATGACTCGTCCTCAACCTGATCTAGTACAGTTCTGTATTGGGAGGAAGGACATGTAGTGAATGCATACTCTATGTTGTTGCTGTTGTCACGTGCCACCTGATGAATTTCTGACTCATAGTGATCACATGTGGCCGAGTAGATAAGCCCCATAGGGTTTTCTAGGCTGTGACCTGTATGGGTTCAGATTTCCAGGATTTCCCCCCAAAGAGCATCTCGATAGGTTTGAACTGCGAACTTTGGTTAAACATCCCAGCCCTTAATTATATCACCAGAACTCCTTTACTCTGTGCTCGGTAGTTATTTTATATCTTATTTTGATGTAGTAGTTATGAGTTGGGCTGCTAACCTCAAGGTCAGCAGTTCTTTCTGCTCCCCTAAAGATTTACAGCCTTGGAAACTTTACACAGGGTTGCTAAGAGTCAGAACTACTCCTTGGCACGCAACCAACCAACCAACCAACCAAATTCGTAATTTGCTAAATTATTTTAACTTAAAGAAACAGGCTCAGTATTACATCTAGTAAGTGTCCGAACTGAAAGTCACAAATTCCATCCAACTTGTATGACTTTTCGGTTTTGAGAGGCTGTTCAAATACCAACTGTTTCTAAGGGCCATCACAGTCTAGACTGTTGCTTGACCTTGCTGTTACTCCTGACTTTGCGTCGACTCTAGTGAGTTTTCAGAGTCCAAGGGATAAGCAGCAGCTTGGTAGAGTCAAACATTGCAAATTGTCTGGTTTTCGTCCCAAATCAGTTCTGACTAATTTGATTTGCTTCTTCAACCTTTGGCAATAAGATCAGATCTTTTTTTTTAAATCAACCTAGTGGTACCTTTACCTGTCTTCTCTTTCGTTTTTTTGTTTTTTTTTTAGAAGTTTTTGTTGTGAATTGAGTGATCGTTTACATGGGAGAACATCAGCTTTACATTTACCCTATTGTGTTTTGTTTTCATTGCAATGATTACAATCCCCTCCATGCATCATCACATCATCATTCAACAGTATTTGCTTCTATTCCCTGTTTTTTTTTGGATGTACACCAAAACACATAGGAATGTGCAAATTGCTCAAACACCCAAAGGGCATACTCTGCAAGCCTGCCCCCTGGCCACCAGCACACAGCCCCTCTCCCTCCATGAGTCTAGAGTCTCAAGGGAATGTTTTGAAGGAGATTATTGCCAAGTTACTCCTTCAGAAACTCAACTACCAAAAGTTTACTGTTTGAGTGGGGTTTCACTTGATGTGAATGTTTAAAAGAGCAACTTGATATGATAACACTTCCAAACATTTAGGTAGAAATTGTTTCAGGAAGTGAAAGTGCCTGTAATGTGTCTTCTTTCCCTGCTTGCCTAATTGACATGTATGTCATGTAGAGAGAGATAGCTGTATGTGTTTGTGTCTATAAGGTGTTCCTTGCTGTATAAACCTATGACCTTTTTAAACTCGAACAGATGCTAAACAGTTGACTTTGTTTCCTTTATGAGTTGGTATAGTGAGAATTTCAACAGCGAAAGAATTCTTGTAAGTTGGAAACATACTGTTATGCAATTTTATTTTTCATACAGTGTATCTTGGAGAAAGGAGCTTTGGTGACACAGTGGTTAAAGTGCTTGGCTGTGAACCAAAAGGGTGGTTTGAACCCATGAGCAGCTTTGCAGAAGAAAGATGAGGCTGTCTCATTCTATAATGATTTACAGTCTTTTAACCAAACACCATGAGAAAATGAGTTAGTGGGCCTGGGGCTCAGGACCATAGAATCAGGGGACACCAGTTGGCATAACATCGTCCACAAAGGTGGTGTTCTAGATCCTATTTTGGTCAGAGGTAACTGGGGTCTTAAAAGTTCATGAGAAGCCATCCAAGGAGCAACTAATTGTCGCTTCCTGTCTGGAGGAAAGAAGAGTGATAAATGGAAATGGTCAAATGGACTAATGGGCCACGGGAACATCCGTCTTCATGACCCTGAGACCAAAACAACTAGATGGTGCCCAGCTACTGCTACCAACTGCTCTAAAAGGAAGCACATGAGAAAGTCCCAGAGAGTGGAATAAAACAAAATCATAAGCGAGACCAGGTGTCCTGGTTGGACAGAGACTGGTGGAACCCTGAAACTATGGCCCTTGGTCACCTCATGAGCCCAGTGGATGTTTTCAGCCAGTTTGTATGGGGAGCAATAACATTAACATTAGTGAGGTACACATACCTCAAATTAGTCAACCATTTGAGATCAAAGGGTAGCATTTACTCAAGGACAGAGTTCGGAAGGGTTAGGAAGGAAGGAAGACTAGAAACACTGAGAGAAAGTGGGCTCGTTGAGGGGATTGTAATCAACGGAATGAAACAAATATGTGTATGAATTGTTGAAATTTAAAACTGATAATCAGCTCTGTAAACCTTCACCCAATTCACAATAAAAGTTTTTTTTTTTTTTAAAGCAGGTTGACTGTCTTGGAAACCCCCTGGTCAGTTTTGCGCTGTCTTGTAGGGGTTCACTGATTAGAATCCATCCATGGAAGTGGGTTTGGTCTGGTTTATGTCTTAGCATTTTAGGGAAATTTTTGCTAAAGATTTGGAGAGATTCCTCAGATTGTCAGAGAA